AATGAATTTAAAAATGCTTCTCAGAACAACCTAATTGCCCTCGAATTCCCTTTCACAAAAATTAAGGTAAATTGGTTTACAACATTATACAAGTTTCATGAGTACACTATACTTCTACGTCTGTATACACTACAGCGCACTCACCACAGAAAGTTTACTTTCTATCACCTTACAGTTGGCCCCCTTTACCCATTTCAACCTCCCTGCGGTGCCTTCCCCTCTGGTAACCACTACTCTGTTCTCTGTATCTATGTGTTCGTTTTTGTTTGGTTTGCTAATCTATTTTGGGTTTTTTGTTGCTTATTTTTTGTATTTCACATGTGAGTGAAATCATACAGTATCTGTCTTTCTCTGTAGCGTAATACCCTATGAAAAAAAGATGAAATCTTGCCATTTCTGACAACATGGATGGACCTTAAGGGTATTATACTAAATTCCCCTTTAATATATCTGTGCTTCAATTGACAGTAATGGTAGAATTCATGAACAATTTTCCCATCATTTTCACCAATTGCTGTCATATGCAACATCACTTTGTGCAACAAATATTTAAAAGCCTAGTATAAACTGAGCCATGATGACAAGGAATGCTATAAGTATGGCCTCCATAAATTATCAAAAAGTTGAATTTTAAAAAATATGTAACTATTCCCATGTTCTAGTATGTTCCATCATGACCTCCCCGGCCCCGCCATCCCCCCACACACCTTTCTTATAGCCTTATGATTAAAAGTGACACTACTGAGATCACTTACTCTTTGCAGAGAGAGGCAAATGAGAGCTCCTCTAACCTTCAAAAATTAGAGTTATTCAATAATGTTTACACAGTGCACATTCCAGCAGTATCTTGTGTACATAGCTTTACCAAAGCATTTCACTCAACCTGTTCCCAATGCCAGGACATTTCAAGCAGATTCTCAGAGAAACACGGCTGCTTTCCCTAGTCGTGGGTCCACTTTATCTTCCTTGCCTCTATACCTGGTAGCAAAGCTGACTGAACAGCAGTAGAATAAGAGATTAGAGGAAAGGAAACATATTTGAGATTATTTCCACAAGCCTACAACAGTTGACCCTGCAGTGAAAATTCAATAAATTCTACGGGGTCTCCATCCAAGTTACTCCAATATCTTCTCTTACTTCAGAAGATACTAGGGGTATAGCTCAGTGGTAGAGTGCATGCTTAGCATGCACGTGGTCCTGGGTTTAATCCCCAGTACCTCCATTAAAAAATAAAATAAATAAATAAACTTAATTACCACCCAAAAAAATTATTTTAAAAGAAGATACTAGGAAGAATCCTCTGCTACACGTCAGCCGTTTTAGATCAGAAATAGGACTTTAAAAATTTAAAAGCACTTGAGTCAGGAGCGAAGTATCCATCATACATTTTCTCTCCCTTTTTCTCACTCCCATAAATATCTGCTGTCAGAGTGCTAGCGAGGCCATTTGAATGAGGCACGTTTCTTAAAAATCGTGAAAAAAATAAGACCATCTTTACAACTCAATATCCTCTTTTGAAGTAGTTCTTTGCTGCCTTTCTTTTTTCCTCAGGCTCTTGAATCTTAAAGTTAAGTCATTTTGAAAGCACTTAAGATGGAGAGAGTTATATCAACATATTGTCAGCAGGGCAGCCAAAATGCGTTTGGATCAAATCAATCTAGCCAATTTCCAATTTCCTGACTACTACAGAATCCCGAATAGAAATATTCCCTAGTTTTTCAGTCAAGAGGTCATGGATGAACGTTCGTAGGTTTCGACACATCATTAACAATTTTCAAACTGAGGCTGACCATCTGCTTTGATCTTGAAAAACCTTTAAATCACATCATTAAAAAGAGCAGCACGCAGTGCTGCAATAATAGAAATAGAGCCAATATAAGACCCACCAAATGATGAAATTCCCAAATTAAGATGGTCTTAAAGGTTTACTGGGGGCACTGGGGGCTTTCGGGACAGAAAGGATATGACTTTTGGAGACCCACAGCCATGGAAAAATGATCAATTTGTGACCATGAAATACTGGAGTCCTACTAAGAGAGAATCTCTTCTGCCTAGAAAATCTGCTCTAAGGTAGGGTTTAGTATGGGAAATTTTGATCTTGAAGAAAATTGGATTCATGTTAATTCATCTCTTTGGGTAAATAATTTCCTGTTTTTATTTCCCTATTTTAAAAGATCATATGAATGTCTCCTTTATATGATAGTATTGTGAAAGCGAAGTGTTTCTGAAGCTAATAAAAACATATTAACCCAATTACTCAGCCATAAAAAAGAATAAAATGTTGACATTTGCAGCAGCATGGATGGACCTAGAGGATATGCTTAGTGAAATAAGTCAGACAGAGAAAGACAAATACTGTATGATGTCACTTATTTGTGGAATCTAAACAATAATACAAATGAATCTATATACAAAACAGCAACAGACTCACAGACATAGAAAACAAACTAATGGTTACCAAAGGGAAGAGGGAGGGAAGGAGGGACAAATTAGGAGCATGGGATTAACAGATACAAACTAATACACATAAAATAGATAAACAATAAGGATTTATTGTATAGCATAAGGAGTTATACTCAACATCTTGTAATAATCTAATAATGAAATATAATCTTCAAAAATACTGAATCACTGTGCTGTGTACCTGAAACTAACACAATATTATAAATCAACTATACCTCAGTTTAAAAAACCAGTAAGTTAACCTAAGAAAGGTTTGTGTTAGGCCTTTCTGTGCAAATGCATTTACATATCTCTGTTAGCGAGTACAGAAACCACTCCGTGATTCTATGAGAGGGAGCTATTTTTCAAAAATACACACAAGGCAGTCGGCAGACCCATCTGACCAATCTTTTGGTCCTTTGCCCCTTTTTTTTTTTAGCACCAGGAACATTGTTGCTGTAGAACACCTCTCTCAGACACTTCCAGCCAGGAATATGGTGTTAAACCTTGGACTGATGCACTATAAAGCTATGAAAGTAGACTCACTGCTTTATCTTCTTCATATTAAAATTTTTTAAGCTATCAGGGATTTAAAGGAATGTGGCTGAGTATCTTCTCCCTTTTGCCTCACTCACTGAAGAGTAGTATTTGCAGGAAATGTGTATCATTCACACTGTTGATGGCATGATAAAGTGACTTAATCCTTCCGGAGAACAATTTGACAACATGTAATGAGCCATATTGGACCACAGAAGACTGCCAGAGAGAAATATATATTATCAAATTGTTCTCCGGAAAAATTAAGTCACTTTATCATGCCATCAGCAGTATGAACATGCCTGATTTCTTTGCAGTCCTGCTCATGGTGAAGTCGCTTCTTGGTTATATCTTCACAACCTGAAAATTACCAGCAAAATTCCTGCCCCCAAGTCGCCACCTACAGGGGAAAAGCCACCTTTACATGAATCCATGCTTTGCACCACTTAGCAGTTTTGGAGAGCTGCAGTATTTCCCAACCTTTTTAAAAATCCCAAGGTAAACTTACTTGAATCCAAGTCCTGCAGGATAGGATATTACCCAATATCTTATGGCAAAAATATAATCAATGGAGGAAAGATTGGAGAAGCCACAATTCATGTGAACTCTTCATGGTGGCCCACGGAACACTGACAGAGAGAAAGAGGTACAAAGTCAAAAGCGGATGAAATGGTTTTTAAAAATAAGACAACTGTATGTGATGATTTTCATCCTGAACAGCATGTGAGATTTACACAGCTGGATTCAGGGGCCCTCGTGACCTGTGTAATAACAATTCCAGACACCAATATGGTCAACACATTTTTTCATGCCTACAGCGAACTTCTGTAGAAATTCCATGTAGAAAGTCCATATAGAAACTCTATAGAGTCACTATTTATTTAGTTAGATATCCTCCTCACCCACCCTGGGAATTTGTGTTTTCCAATTTTTTTTCTTTTGAAAGAGCACTACTCTTTCCACAAGAGTACCACTGCCACTCTGTACTACTGATGAAAATCTTTGCACAGATCTTTAAAAAAATTATTTCTTCAAAATATTTTACCATGTCAAAGGGTAGGAATATGTTTATCTGGCTCATCACATACTGTCAAATTGTTCTCTGGAAAGATTAAGTCACTTTGTCATGCCACTAGCAGTATGAACATGCCTGGTTTCCTTGCAGCCCTGCTCTTGTTGAGTCCTCATTTTGGTTTCTGCCACCTTTGTTAGTATATAATGGCAACTTAATGTGGCTTTAATTTGCATTTAATTTTTATGCAGGCTGAAGCGCCAGCCAACCCTGACAGAGACAGTCAACCCCCTATTCAAAGTCTCCAAGCTGAATGTTTTATTTGCATCTCAATCTTAATTTCCATTACCCCCAACCCTCACACCCCAAACCTGCCCACTACTCAAACTGGCTCCCCTCACCCAGTGACTCCCATCTCCCTAAAAAGAGCCACCCTCGCCCAGGTGCTCAGGCTCAAAGCCAGGTGTTCTTCCTCCCCTCCACTAGGACTCAGTCCTTCAGCAAGCCCTTCTGACTCTGCCTTTACCAGACATTCCAAATCCATTGCCTTCTTCACGGCTACTCCCCAGGTCCATGCCACCATCGTCTCTGACCTGGATTACTGCACCAGGTCCCCACCAGTCTCCTTCCATCCTTGCCCCCTTAGCGTCTAAGATACCCAATGGTCAAAATGATTTTTTTTTAAATCTGAACTCAGATGGTGTCACTCCTCTGTTCAAAGCCCTCCAGCAGCTCTCCCTCACGCTTTGAACAAAACCGAAACTGCTTTCCCTCCAAAACAACCCCTGCCCACCTCTTTCAACCCATCTTGTACCCTTCTTCCCAAGTGCCCTTGTCCTCCCCATCCCAGTCACATTGGCCTTGTTTACTGTTCCTCAAATGCATCAGGTTCACTCCTCAGAGCCTCTGCCCTGGTACTTGGCTCTAGCTGAAGTGCTCTCCACCCCCACCCACCCCACCAAGCTCTTCTCATGCCTGGTTCCTTATCATTTTTCAGATCTGGCTCAGAGAAGCCTTCCCTGATCACTATCTTATATAGCGCTGCTCCCACCCCTGTCGTGTTGTAGTGTATCACCTCGTCTTATTTTCACTCTAACCCCGAAAGGATCAAATGGTCATGTGTATTTGTTAACCAGCTTTTTGTCTGCCCCACCCCCAGCCCCAGTCTGTAAGTTCCGTGAGGGCAGGGGCTGTATTTGTAGGGTTCACCAGTTTATCTTCAGAGCCTAGAACAAGACCTGACGCATCGTAGGAACCTAAAATAAAATCCTACCTGAAACTGAGAATTTACTCATCAACTACATTGAAAAGATGCTCGTCTCATATTGAAAATACTAATAGTCACACCTGGAGACAGAGAGTGACATGCTAACTCAGACTTGCTTGTTCTCTCAGGGCTCCTAGAGCTACTAACATTAATCCGTGAATGTGGAGATCCATCAAGGGTACCTACCGTGCAGCTCCTCCGTTTAAGACACTTTGGGGGTTACAGTGATAAGTTACCCTCAAACAACTGAATCTAGAAAGAAAAGAAATGAAGACAATTAACTGCAATCTGGGGAAGAAAATGGTTAGAAGCACAAGATGCTTTGGGCCATAGAGAAAGGACAATGGGTTTAAAACTCTTCCTCATGAAGTGAGCGTTAGAACACCTGGGAATAGACTTCAGTGGTTTTCCAATACGCTCGCCCTGCTCCCTTCAAGAGTGGTGGGACGTGCATAGTCACAATTGATTGTAGTTGTCACAGTCACTGCTGGCACTGGGTGAGCAGGGGGCCAGAGTTGCTAAACATCCTGTAGTGCCTGGACAGATCTGCACGGTGAAGACCTCCCGTCCCCAACGCCAGCACAGTCTGGCCCACACCTGTCCCTCTAGAACATATGGAGTGCTTTCTGGGACTTCCAGATTAACCTTTTTATTTGTTTGTTTGTTTTTCATTCCAGAATAACCTTTTTAACACGTTACTTTTTATGTTGTCATTTCTGAGTTTCTTTTTTTCCCCTTGAACTCTTTTCATCATTTTGACCCAAGTCCTACACACAAATGTTGCAGCAAAAAGAAAACCTGAGTCCAAGCGGAGGAGGAAGACTAGCTGTAAGGCCCACCAGACTATCTCTTTAGGACCTGAGCAGAGCAGGTTTCGAAACCCCAGTCCAGAGGAAAGGTACTACATGCGGATAATGCTCAGTTCCTGACCATTAATGCTTCCCCAGTGAGGTCCACAGCCTTCCTGTGTGTTGAGATTATTCACATTTCAGAGTCGGTTCTAGGGCAGGTCCGACAACTCCCTAATTACACAGGAAGACAAGAAGCTAATACTGAATTGGAATCTTCCCCAGTGGGGCTTGTTTCCCTAGAGGAGGGGTCTGGGGCCCACAGGGTCAAGTACATGGTCCCAGGACGTAGGGGGCGTGACCCCAGCTAAAGGGGCCAGCACCGCACAGCTCTGCCTTCCACAGGTGAAACACAGACCTAGCCTTCTGGCTTTTCAACAGAAGCTGGAAATCCTGATTTTTATTGAGCTCTTTTGGTTTTTCAATGTTGGTCCCTAATTCAGTTGCCTTCTCAAATATTGTATAGGCTGAGGCACATCCATCTAGGGCTGAACTTGACCCCAGGCCCCTAACTTGCTCCTTCTGCTTGGTTGCATGTACCTGGTGCTCCCCAAAGGTTCAAGAAATTCAAAAACAAGAGCTAAATATGCTGACAGCTGGGCAAGGTTCTCAAGAAAGAGCGAGGCAGGGACAGGCTCAGGGACCCAGGCAGGGCACACCAAGGGATTAATACTGGCTTTGCCGTGCTCTTCTTTGCTCAGAAATTCTTCTCATCTCCCTCTTTCTTACTGCATCAAGTCACAAGTTCCTTTCAAGGCTCTCCAAAACATGGCCCCACCCCACCTCATCAGCCTCATAGTTCATCATGCCCTGTGTCCATCCCCCAATCTAGTTGGGCTGGTCTCCCTTGAGTTCCTCCAAACACATTAATCCCCTCCCTCCCTATGTCCTGTCTCCCTCTGGATGTCCCACCTGCCCTACAAAGCCTGGTTCACATCGCATCTCTTTTATGAAACCTCGTCTGTGACATTAAACAGTAAAATGCTTTCAAGCTCAAGAGCTGGGGTCAACCAGATCTTGGTTCAAATCTCATCTCTGCCATTAACCAGCTAAGTGATTTATCTAATCTCTTTGAACATCAGAAGATAACGGTGCCTACCTCACAGAATTTTTGAAGGTTTAAGGGAAATGATGCAAGTTAAATACTTAACACCTATAAGTGCTCAATTAATGTGAGCCCTTATTATTACTATTATGATTGATCTTCTCCGTTAAGTGGTCCAGATCTCACACTATCACTTCTGAACAAAGCACTACTGGATTCCATGTGGTCCATGTCTGCTCAGACTGTGCCCCAGGCATTAGTCTACCTCGGCCTCCAGCGTGGTTTAAAGCTTCTTCAAGTTCAAGGAGCATGTTGGTTATAACAGAACTGACACAGACCCAAGCGGACACTACGTCAGGGAGATGCACAAGTAACATCACCCCGGCTCTGAAATAGCTCAGCAAAAGTCCCTCTCTAGCAAAGGCAGGAGCGCGTGCTGCGAAGACAAACATGTAGCCATTCCCTGTGGTAGAGAGCTGCTTCAGCATTTAAAACAAGTCTCTCTCTCTGTCTCTCTCTGTCACACACACACACACACACACCCCGCCGCCACCACCTTCACATTCCTCAATCTCTATGCCTCACTTTCCCTTCTGATGCTGGAGGTGACACATGAAGTCAGTCAAAGGCCACTCTCTGATGGAGAACCAAGATAAATGGGCCACCCTGCAGGTGTGATCTTTGCCTGGGACTACATGGAGAGCCCATGACCCACCACAGGAGACAAGATGGTCTCTGCTGGTTCTGCCCCCTTCCCTCAATGTCCCTCCACCTCCAGTCAGCCCCACCCATCCTCTGATACGCATAATAGCTGGGGTCCCCTGGGCACCCATGCCAGCAGGCCTATTCCACTAGCCACTTTTCTCTGTGCTTAACATGAATCAAAAAGTAAATTCCTTCATGTACATTACTCCATGCTTCCAGTTACCCCATGCTTTGAGTGACTCCCTCCCAAACAAAGAAACAGGGCACAGAAAAACTGTGACTACTGGAATGCCACATCCTTTAAAAAAGCAAATAAAAAAACCCAGAACTGGAGAGATCCCAACTATATTATCCCCAAGAGTGGTTCTCTCAGCATAAAGACTGAGCCTTATCCATCATGCTGCTCAAGTGTGCAGTCTTTCAACAGCATGAAGTTCCAAAGTTAGACCAGAGGCAGGTAGGAAAACAGCCCCAAATTGGCATAATCTTTGAGACCTTATTCTCAATTTAGAAAACACACAGAGAAAATGAAAAGGTCCAAAGGGTAACCTGTCCTCATGCTGGAACCCAGTGTTCCCAATACAAATCACTCCCTGGAGTTAGCAGCATTCAAAAGTTCCCCAGACTTCC